GGCTCTGTCTCAAAAAAAAAATTTTTTTTAATTTTAAAAATTTAAAATTTATTCCATATAATATGTATATTTAAAAGTGTAATGACCAATAGTGATGGTGGTATTAAACAATTAGTTGATACCATCCTGGTTTTGTTGGGTTTTTTTCCTAATCCTCTTCCACTTCTTTTTTTTTTGGCAATTTTTTTAGCTGGGGCTGGGTTTGAACCCACCACCTCCAGTATATGTGGCCAGCGCTCTACTCCTTTGAGCCACAGGCACTGCTCTCTTCTACTTCTTGAGGCATCTCTAGATTAGTGATGCCAGCCAGCCTCAGAACTCATCTTAACAGTCTGTGAAACTAGCTGGGTAGTCACAGATGCTGAGCTAGGTACTTTCTAAATAAGATGCAGCCCAGTCTGGACTGCATAGCTCTAAATTTTCAGGCTTATTTTGGCCTGTGGATGAACTTTTGTGACAATTTAATAAATATTTACTATAACTTGGTGGTTTAAATTTTGGTGATATTTTACAAAGAGTTTTTATTTTCTGAGTATATTTGCGCCTAACTATAGATGTTGACAGGAGTTAGAATTTTTTAATTATGCAGGACCAGAAGTGTGATGCTTCACTTCTTCAGTGTGGCTGGTATTTTAAGAATTACAAATAGGGGCCGGGCTCACGCCTGTAATCCTAGCACTCTGGGAGGCTAAGGCAGGTGGATTGTCTGAGCTCATAGGTTCCAGACCAGCCTGAGCAAGAGCAAGACCTGGTTTCTAAAACTAGCTGGGTGCTGTGGTTGGTGCCTGTAATCCCAGCTACTTGGGAGGCTAAAGCAAGAGAATGCTTGAGCCCAAGAGTTGGAGGTTGCTGTGAGCTGTGATGCCATAGCACTTAGAATAACACAGTTAATTTGTTCACAGGCCGAGGGGTGACCTTCCTGTTTCCCATACAAGCAAGGACGTTCCATCATGTCTACAGTGGGAAGGACTTAATTGCACAGGCACGGACAGGAACTGGGAAAACATTCTCCTTTGCCATCCCTTTGATTGAGAAACTTCAGGGAGAACTGCAAGACAGGAAGAGAGGTCGTTCCCCTCAGGTAACTAAACATATACCTCAGGGGTTCCATATCAGCAAAGGAAAAACATCTCATGGGCTTTGTTAACATACCCTACTATTTTATATTGCATGCTTATAGTCACTCATTAAATTTACTGTGGGTCTTTTTCTGAAGGGTAAACAACAATAATTCTTAAGACTGTTATCTACAAGTCCTGTATATTTATTATAATTTTGTCCCATGGTTGTGATCACCATGTGATGTTCCCTTCAAACAGTTAGATGTCCCTAGGACTGACAGCATTGGTTAAGTGTCCTTGACCATTTTTGTTTAGATGGAGAATATAAATTTTGTTGCTGTTGTTGTTATTTCGAGACAAGAGTCTCACTTTATCGCCCTTGGCAGAGTGCTGTGGCACTACAGCTCAAGCATCCGCCAGCTCTTGGGCTTAGGTGATTCTCTTGCCTCAGCCTCCCGAGTAGCTGGAACTTCAAGCGCCCACCACAATGCCTGGCTATTTTTTTGTTGCAGTTTGGTGGGGGTCAGGTTCGAACCCACCACTCTCAGTACACGGGGCCGGTGCCCTACTCACTAAGTCATAGGCACCACCCAATATGTATTTTTTTTTTTGAGACAGAGTCTCAAGCTGTCACTCTGGGTGGTAGAGTTCCGTGGCATCATTTCTCAGAGCAACCTCCAACTCTTATGCTTAAGCAATTCTCTTGCCTCAGCTTCCCAAGTAGCTGGGACTGCAGGCACCTGCCACAACACCCAGCTATTTTTCTGAGATGGGGTCTTGTTCTGTCTCAGGCTGGTCTCCAACCTGTGAGCTCAGGGCAATCCACCTGCCTTGGCTTCCCAGAGTGCTAGGACTACAGGCGTGAGCCACCTTGCCCAACCTTGAGAATGCATTTTTTTTTTTTAAGAGACAGAGTCTCACTTCGTCACCCTTGATAGAGTAATGTGGCATCACAGCTCACAGCTCTCCCTAGTAGCTGGGACTGCAGGCACCCACCACAACGCCCGGCTGCTTTTTGTTGCAGTTTGGCTGGGGCCAAGTTCGAACCCGTCACCCTCTGTATATGGGGCCGGCGCCCTACTCACGAGCCGCAGGCACCACCCAGAGAATGCATTTTGGATAGAAAAGCATGAACGGAAGTAGGGCACTCAGGTTGATGAAGAGGCTTAGCCCTCTCATCAGGATGAAATAACTGGAATGCCCATATCGTTGCATTAGCTGTGTGTTTTTAGAGTTGTCTTTCTGTCCTAACCTCACTTGCTCACTAGCCTCCTAGTGTCTATGCTATACCCCAATCCCATTAATTTTATTTGTTTACTGTTATGCTCCTAGCACCTAGAATAGTACCTGGCACATGATAGATGGTCATTAAATATCTTTTGGATAGGGGCAGCACCTGTGGGTCAGTGGCCAGGGCGCCAGCCCCCTATACCGAGGGTACAGGGTTCAAACCTGGCCCCAGCCAAACTGCAACAAAAAAAAATAGCCGGACGTTGTGGTGGGTGCCTGTAGTACCAGCTACTCAGGAGACTGAGGTAAGGGAATCACCAAAGCCCAGGAGTTGGAGTTTGCTGTGAGCTGTGTGACACCACAGTACTCTACTGTGGGCAATAAAGTGAAACTCTGTCTGTATAAAAAAAAAATCTTTTGGCTCGTCGCCTATAGCTTAACCGGCTAAGACGCCAGCCATGTACACCTAAGGTGGCGGGTTCGAATCCCCAGCCCGGACCTGCCAAACAACAATGACGGCTGCAACCAAAAAATAGCCAGG